TTTTCTTCTCCTACTCCTGCTTTCCTTACTTCCCTGAGGACACTCTGGACAGAACAAAGTGCATTACATTAGCACCATGCAAATGTCCAATGGCATATTAGAGATCTGGCATTTCAAATGAGATTGCACTTGAACTGAGAGCAATGACATGCTTGCATAGAAATCTGGTTATTTGATCCATGCCCTGTTTAATCCTGCCATAAATTTAAGAATTGAAATAAATTTTTATTTGTATCTCAAGAATTTCTAGCTGCAACCAATACTGCTTAATAAAGTGGTAGTTTATACTCCAATTCTCTGCCAACTCTGCAAATGAGGCATTCTTCAGAAAAAACGTGGACTCAAGTGTTTCTCAGAAACTATACCTCTATTAATTCTTTTCTTTTCTTTTCAAAGTGGATAGTAGATCGAATTGTATATAGCTTATAGCTTTGTCTCATTCCCCTTAAATGATGTAATTGCTTCTGTCTCTACTCTTCCCTATCCCAGGTTCCAGCTCAGAGACTTGAGAAAACAGCCTTATTTTAGGGCTAAATACATGTTTTTTAACTTTCCTTTGTTCTTCAGACTGTACCAATGTTTTCGTTTAAAAAAAACATGTTTATAGACCTTCATATGATCTTACATTAAAATACACACTTCGTATGTCAATGTGATACTTTCCTCAGGTTTTTTTTTTAACTTCTGATTGTTTAGTTACTGTTATTGTGGATACATGTGTGATGTATGATATATCCTATATGTATGATTTAGAAAGAACATATGAAATAAAAAAGGAAATCAGCATTCATGTACATTTATTGTTTTTTATTGTTATTTATTTATGTCACTTTTATTGTTAATATTTTAGAATTTCCCTGTATAGTGAATACATTTGACATTTTATCAATTTTTCATGTCCATACTTGCATATACTTACTCACTCTAGAAGATAGAAAGTGAAATAACAATAATTCTATCATAAAGGCTCTAGGAGTCAATTAAGTAAAATGAAACATGGTTAGACAAGAGGCAGAAATCAATTAGAAAGCTGCAAATAATTTGCTACAAGAGTTAGATGCTACAGAAAGTCTGGGAAATTAGGAGCTGTTTTCTTTTTTATTTAAATAAATATTTGTTTATTAGTACTAGTAAATTAATCATTTTCTATTAATATTAATGAATCAATAATTTGTTTACTATTAATATTAATATTTGTTTCATTTGTAAAATCCTGACCACTGTGATACCTCACGTCAGGAGACCTCAGGAACAAGGGACTAGAGATTAATGTATAGGCTAAACTTCCTGTGCCTAACACAGCTGCAGGTGCAGAGAAGGAACTCAATAAATATTTGCTAGATATACAAAGGAGTGAGCCAAGTTTTCCACTTTTAAATCAGTAACCATTTAATTAATCCATGGTTAGGCTCAGGAAGGTGTTTTGAATGACTGACCCATTTGAGTTTTTTGGGCTTGAATTCACCTTCTATCCACAAGCTTCATTTGTTCACAAGGTAACTAAGAAATCCAGGCAAACCACAAATGTGGGAGTACAGAGCTGTGGAAGGTGAACCACTGATGCACTATTTTTTCTTAGGTCCCAGCATCAGTGCCCACACACTGGTGTCTTCCTGTCTCTGAAGGCTCTAGATCCCATCTGCCTGCTATGAACCATTCTCCCTTCCTGGGCTTCTGAATTCTTTGCTCTGCTCTGTCCAGAACTTTAGCACTGTTCATTTTTCTAGGACTTTAATACTGACCTGTCAAGTTTCCTATCTCTTTAACTTCATTCTATCTAGAGACAATCAGAAAGTAAATTACCAAACTTATTAAATAAGTCCTCTTATTGTATGTACAATCTAAGTCAACAAACTTCTGCCCCAGGGCCTGGTAGTTGCTTATGTGATTCATCCTCCAAGCAAAGTACCTGTTTGTAGCAACCATCCTCCTCCTCAAGTCAGTTTATCCAAAATAAGACCTCACGGTTTCTGGACTTGTATTTTTTCCTTTTTTTCTTTTTCATAAGTCTTCTTCTTTTCTCCCATTCATGACCTCTATTGTTTTCCACCTAATGCTTTGAGAAAACTAATGCAGACTCTTAAGTCTATCAAGTCTTTGTAAGATTGTCACAAAAACCAGGTTTAGTATGCCATGAATAATAGTGAATGGCAATGGGGAAATAGGAAGGAGAACTACTTGAATTCATAGATCTATGCCTTACTTTGGAAATTATTAATACCAATGAGTCTTTTACCAAATAGTTTTCTTACTTTTTAGGTCTTTGAACTGTCTGAATATTTTTAGTCAGTGTTTAGATCAGACACACTCAATATTATTTTCTATCCATTTAACAATGAACAAAATTTTTATCTTCTGTTCATTTTCTTTCATTGAACTCCATTCAACTATTTTCCTTCCTAAGGTCAGAGAATAATGCAAGGGCATTCTTTGACAGTCTTTTACCTCCTCCTGCAGTCTCCTAAAGCTGGCTATGATTTGCTTTAGCGTAGATCATGGTTTGAAAATTGTTCACTCTCTTTAATGATATTTTTTATTTTTTGTAAATATAAAGAGAGAGAAAAATAAAGAGAGGAAACCTAATGGATCTGATGCAATGAATCTTCATCCCATTTGCCAATTTTCATTTCCTAGGAAACTTCCATGGGTGGTTCTTCAATTCCAAATATCTCTGCTGTTTGTTGAGGACTTGCTGCCTGGTTCACAGATGGCACCTTCTCCCTGTGTCCTCACGTAGGGGGAGGGGTAAGGCAGCTCTCTAGGTCTTGAACTCGGGTTATATTTTAAAAGTACGGTCAGTAGGAGTTACGTTTTTATTACAATTTGCTTATGGTGAAGGAGGAAAACTCAAGGCCAAGACTTAGTTTTAGTGCCTAGTTGGGTAGATGGAAAAAATTGTGGACAAGAGAAACCTGGAGCATGAAGAGGAAGCCAGTGTTTCTGATTCAGACATATCTATCTTGAGTGTGAAACATCTCAGTAGAGAATACAGAGGGAGCAACATGAGTCTGGGAAACACCAAAGGGGCTGAGTAGATTAACAGATGCATTTATTTACCTGGAAGAAAGTATAGAAAGAGAAGAGAGGATGGAATGAACTCAAACAAGCCAGCATGTAGGCATCAGATAGAGGACACTAAAATGTTGAAGTATGTGAGACAGGAAGAAAATAGAGCAAAGCCATTGCTGCTTTGTATCAAAAGCCCCAAGAAGAAAGTGTTTCAAGAGGAAAGAAAAGTCAATCTCATTGAATGCTGCTGACAAAGTGAGGCAGAGACAATGAACTATTTGGCAAAGTATAGGGCATTGAAATATGGAAAAAGAGGTGCAAGGGAAGGGTAAAGTAAAGGAATAAGTATAAATAATTGAGATCCAGGAACAGGAAGGTAGCATTTGGGCTCCAGGGTCATGACTAGGGGATCTTAGTATGGGGCATCTACAACCCTTTTTGTGGGTTATAAGACTGGCAAAAATTGAAGCAAAGTTCAGATTTTAGAATCTAGTGTAAGCGCTGTGTAACTGGCCATCACAGATCAAATCTTGTGCATGTGAAACTGGGATGCTTCGTGCTCGTAGAACCTGCTGTGTCTGTCCTGGGACAGCTTAACCTGCCCAGGTTGCTTCTGACCTGTAGATTATGTTGGCTAAGCTTTCATCTCCTTGGCGTGAGTCTCACATGTGTCCTCCTGAGACACACACCTACCACCAATGTGTTCCCAGCTAGAACAGCAGCATTCCTTGAGCAAGAGATAGAAGCAGAAAAGGAAATTGGAATAAACAGGTAATGGCAATAGTGGAACATAGAATCACAGTAGTGCAGATCAAAAGGCTGTGGGGAGATTTAAAGAGTGTCCACCTGAGTGGGGACTGGAGGACATACAGATCTGGACCTGCAGTGCTGAGGGTCTTTTGATCAAGGGGAACTGATGAGAGGAGATTCAATGGTATGAAATTTCATTAGACTACGAACCTGGGGTTGAAGAAATGCTTCAATTTTGAGTATGCAAAGATAGGTTCAAGTGCACCTGCAGAACGTGGTCTACATTTACTAAGATCCCAGGAAAGTTTAGGGCTAAGAAGGTGATGTGATGGTAAGAATGATGAAAGCATAAAAGGAAACTCCAGTCAAGCATCAAGCTTAGAACCTAATGCAAGATGCATGGTGAAGTTAACAAAGCAGTCTAAGGATAAAAAGATGTATCAGGGATTTCATGGCAGTAGCAGAATAGCTTTTATTTTTTTCCCTCCTTGTATCCTACATAATTAGAATATTATAACATCTTCCATTTATCATACCCAATCAAGATAACCTAATTTTAAAACAAGAGAATATCTTATACATACCCTTTTTTTTTTTCAAGTAAACTGAACTTTTCTCTCCAGCCTACCTTTTTCTTCTGACCATATCACTTATGGTTCTATAGGCTTGGAGCAATAATAATTAAATATTGAATTTCCGAAAAATAGAACATGAAAATATTATGTTTAATGCTTCATCTCACACCCTAATGCCATTTGTATGAACTCATAAAAGAGGAGGTTATTCATGTCCAACCACAGTTTCCAGCGCCTGAAGGAGAATGGGAGGATAGTATAAAATCCTTAATCAACCCTTCGAGTCACAGCTTGATTTTCACTACCTGGAATCTTGAAGTTGCACTCACCTGACAAGGACAGGGTCCTGCCATTTGGGTTAAGTTGCTGCAATAGAAAAAACAATATGACCCCTTACACAGATTCATGCAGGAGGAAACTCTTTCTAGAAATACATCAAAAACAGACTTAGCAAATTTCTCAATGCTTCCTTGCCTTGAGCTACTGTATCTGTAGTTTTTCAATTTACCCAATACATTTTTCTTTTTTGCTCACACATGAGATATTACCTCAAGACTCCCCAAATCATTCTTATTCATTACAGATACAACAAAATATTCAACTTAAATAAACTAATTTACAAATACATTCCAGGAACAAATCATTAATACTATTCTAATGTTTAGGGGATCCTCAGACCATCTTGAAAAGGGACAAAAGATGACTATGATGGCTCACCAGTACCCTTCTTGGATCTTCATCAATGACAGGATGTTTATAACCAGGTAATCATATATCTATGCTCTGTGTTATCTGATTCACCAGTCATTTGCAGAATATACCTTTCAGAGTTTCCTAAGCATGGTATATGATCAACAATATCAATAGAATTAAGTCACCAGATAAGATACTGCATAATGCCAGGCACAGTGGCTCATGCCTAGAATCCTAGCTAGTCAGAGGTAGATATCTGGAGGATTGCAGTTTGTAACCACCGAAGGTAAAAAGTTAGTAAGACCCCATCTCAACCAATAACTGGGTTGATGGTATGCACCTGTCATCCCAGCCACTCAGGAAACATAAATAGGAGGATTGTGGTCCAAGCCAGCTTGAACGTAAATACAAGACCCTGTCCCAAATATAACTAAAGTCAAAAGGGCTGGGGGGCTGGGGCGTGGCTCAAGTGGTATATTACTTCCTAGCAAGCATAAGTTCCTGAGTTCAAACCCCAGTACCACCACCACCAAAAAAAAAGCTACATTTCTGTTACAATAATTGGAACAGTTACAAAGAGCAAGATTACATGAAGGATCTAAGGCTGCTCGTAAAACACACACCTCGCTTCTCCCTTTCTTGCCCTTCATGACACATTATTTTTACTGCTCTTTCTTGACATTAGGTTATGTCATGTATGGCTAACATCCATAAGTGTGGTCTTGTACACAATAAATAACATCTTCTTTTGCATTGGGGAATAATAGAGCAGGGATTTAAAACCTGAAGTAAAGATGAGAGTGTCCAGGTATGGTGGTGCAATATTGTAATTCCAGGCAGAGATCACAAGGATGGTGGTTCAAGGCCAGCCTGAGCAAAAGTTACTGAGACCCCCATTACAACCAACAAGAGGGGCCTGGTGATGCACTTGTAATCCCAGCTAAGAAGGAGGCATAGATAGGAGAATTGGAATCTGAGGCCAGCCCAAGCAAAAATTCAAGACCCTGTCCAAAAATTAACTAAAGCAAAAAAATGGATGGGAGCATGGGTTCAGTGGTACAGTGCCTGCTTAGCAAGCACAAGGCCCTTTTTCATACCCTAGTACTGAAAATAAATAAAAAAGATGAGAACTAAATCAGGCTGAGCTAGAGCAGAAGCTGAGGATATGATAAAATAGTAAAAAATTAAGTAAGTACTAAAACATGACCCAAGCCATAGAGGGAGTGGGAAATGAAATAAAGCCAAATACAGACAGAAGTGGGAGTAGGTGGTGCAGTAGGAAAGCAGAAGGAGACAGAGATGCTCAACGATGAACTAAAGCCACAGCTGGAGGATAAGAGTGAAATGTAAGGGTGGGAGGAAGCCAACAAAAAACACTTAAAGAGCAGAGCAATAGAGGGAATGAATATAATCAAAGTATTTATGTATGTGTGGAATTACCACAACGAAACCTCTCATTTTGTACAATTAATATACCCAAATAAAAATAATAGAAAAACAGACTTAGAGATGGAGGATTCTTTATCCTTCCTCACATATTTACTGACTGCTCACTGGAGACAGGTTCTGTCCTAAACCTTCAGCATTCAGCAATGAACCAAAGAAAACCCTTCCTTATATCCTAAAGTGTGGGGTAGAGGATACAGTCAATATAAAATATAAATGCTGAAAAGTGAAGAATAAAAATAAAAGAGGTGGGAGTAAATGATACTGAACGTAGAGGGAGTAGAAACGGTTCCAGTCTGGGCTTCAAATAAGATGTCCAAGGAAGACCTCAGTGAAGAGATAGGAAAAACCTGCAGTTTGTGGCTTTGAACATTCCAAGCGAAGAGGACAGCAAGTTCATAGTCTTGAAGCAAGTCCATATGTGTGAGCATTGACTAGCCCACTGTAGAGGAAGTAAACAGACAGTAGGGAAAGGTGAGATCAGAGACAAAATGTGGGCAAAACATGCAGAGTTTGGAGACAGACAGTCACAGCATTAGAAAAGAATGCACTAAATCATTTACTTATTTTCCTGCCTCTCAGCTCTGCTTGACTCAGTTCAGCTCACAGAATTCTGATTCCTGATACTAGGAAGTTGCTACACTACCCCTGGGGTGTCATTTGCAATCTGAGGTTACAATCCATTTTGTTCATTCTACTTCAGCTGTGTTATAGAAATTCTTTGTCTTCTCGATTCCCAAGGAAGCCAGGGCCTTTCTCACTCTCATCTTTAGACCTTCCTTTAATCCATTGGAATCCACTCTGTATAGACACCAGCCATCCCCAATTGCAATTATTAGTTCCCTGACTGCAGTTGCTCACATCTCCATGTACCAGGGCTTCTCTCCCCTAACAAAACCCCAGGAAAAAATGTAGTGGAGGAGCCCTGTGCCCTTCCTAGTTTCCTCTCATACCTTGAATCTTTACTTTCTCTAGGACAGCTTTGTCTTCCACTTGTGTAGAACTACTGGTTCTGTTCTAGATAGATGTACATCTATCTCATTTGTAGCCATGACCAGCCAATGGTAACTTCTCATCGTGGATCACCACATTCCCTTCCTTTGCTCACCTGTGTAATACATGAGCTTAGGTCTTGCTTTTCACTGCAGTAGACATCTATCTATCCATAAGCTAGAGGTCACTAAGTTATCTCGTCATTTCACAGTATTAATAAGTTTCCCAGTTGCAATACCTCACTTTTCCTGTGAAATCCTCCCTGAGCCTCAGCAAGCTCTTAACTAGCCCCTGTTAATTACTTGTTTATTTGTTATTTTAAAATATTTATTCCCTAATTATAAAAGTAAAATTATTTTATAAATTATTCTATTTTACATTAGTATGTTACATATATTTATGTAATTATAAAAACTGAGAAAAATTTTAAAACATATAAATTGAAAGAATAAAAAGTATCCCTACCAAACACTCAGAAAAACATGCACTGCTTAATTTTTAGTATATTCCTCACCTTGCAAAGATTCTGTTTTGCAAAGCTGTGATCACACTATCTTCTTTTACAGACCTGGCATTATATTGCAAATATTTCCTCATAAAATTAAAAAAGTCTTCCTAAAATGATTTAATTGATGTAGTAGCATTCAATGATGTAGAAATGCCATACTGTAATCATTCCCTTAATTTTATTCTTCAAGATGTCTCCAGTGTTTTTAATAAACAAGGCTAATTCAGAGAAGTATCCCTGGATCAAAGTACACAAGTAAATGTAGCGTTTTTACCACAAATAAGCTTCCCCAAAAAGCTAGATGAGTTTACTTCCCCACCAGCAGCTGGAAGCCTCCTGGCCTCTCGTGCTAGTGCAGATGCTCAGTTCTCCTGGGTAGAATGTAAACCCTTTAAGGGTAAGTCCTAAGTATCTTTGGCATGTTGTTTCTGAAAGTGGAGCACCAGGATGATTTTGGTGTATGAGATGATTTTAATTGAAACACGGATGATCATTTTTTTATTCAAAGACTTACGTAAAGTATTAGGAAAATATAATAAATACATACAATCTTTGATTTCACAAATATTATTGCTTAGGACAAATGAAACATATTTAAATGAAGTGAATTAGAAAATTATTAAAAATAGATAATACTCTGAATTATGAAAGCAATACACAAATAATTAAATAGCATGGTTATAGCCTTCAGCCAGAATACATTAATTTTTCTTACAGATAACTTTAAAATATGATATAAAAACCTCTATATACATATTTATTTATTTGTTTATTTTTTGGCAGTACTGAGGTTTAAATTCAGAGCCTTGCACTTTCTATGCAGGTACTCTACACAACCCTAGCCCTTTATTGAGTTTAGTTATTTTTCAGAGAGCGTCCTGCATTTTTTTGCACAGGGCCAGCCTCAAGACTATGATCCTCCTACTTATGGCCTCCCACATAGCAGGAATTACAGGCATATGTTGTTGTACTAGAGGTACACTGTGACATTTACAAAAATTCTTATAATGTATCATAGTTGAATTCACCCCCTTCATCACTGGGTCAAATTCTTGCTCACAGTACAGGCACTGGACTCCACCCCAGAACTAATCAGGTGACTCTGATGTGTACTGAAGTCTGAAAACTGCTCAGAGGAGGAAAGGGTCTGAGAACTTCTGACTTCCTGACATAAACAAAACTCCTGGAACCAAAGTAAATCTCTGCAAAACTGTTACCAGAAACAGCAATACCACTGGCCACGGATGATACCACATACGACTTAAGAAGTTTTTCAGCCGCCTGTCTGCAGTAGGCCCCGTGGCAAATAAAACAGAAATTATCAACCCAGTAATAGGTTTTAGTTTTTCTACACATAAGTACATTTAAGTAACAGAAATTTACATTACAATAGCTTCTACATAGTTGAAATTTTGGTTTCAGCACATTTCTTGAGAATGTACATTTTTCAGTACAATAAAAAGTCTTGTATATCAAGGACACTGTGGGCCAGACAGCACTCATTTCTAACTAATAAATGAGAATTCTCTAAGGCCAGAAACTTCCTGGCTAAAGGGTGTTGGCATATATTAGCTTCACACTCAAATGAGTACGGTTCCATTGCCTGGAGGCATCACTGTTTGCTGCTTCACGTGGCAAATATTCTGAACTAGAAAATGGTTCTGTCTGGTTGCTTTCAAAGTACTTTCATTTCAGGCTGAAATCAGGTGAGGTAATGCCAGCCTTGTATTTAGAAAACAAAAACAAAACAGAAAAAGAAGTTCAAATCCAGTTTCAAATGTAGCTCAGATTTCATTCTCAGAACCTGTCAGACTTTTTTCTGTTACTTAGGAACCTGATATAAAAACTCTTGCAGACTATGACTCTTTTAATAGCAGCTCAAAAGGCACATGTGCATTCCCGTCCTTGGTAAATATGTTTAATTAGTATGATGTAATAAATTTTAGCAAAAAGTGCATTATTCCAAATAGTTTCTTTTTCTAAGAGTGTTGGTTAGCACCCTTTGCTGAAACAAAAGAACCAGCCACCTACACCTCCAACACAAATTAAACACAAAGAGCCAGTGTTCCTGAAGCTGCCTACTACCTGGCCCATAGAGCCAGAGGACATTGTTTGCCCAGGAGT